ATTTTGGAGAGCTTTTCACTATAGGGCGCGTGCACTCGCCAGACAGACAGAGAGAGACAGAGAGACAGAGAGAGACATAGAGACAGAAAGCGAGAAATCACCCCCTGGGGGGATGGCCTCGCCACAATCCCTTCTCCTCCATTCTCCTCTCGGGATTTTGAGCATGCATGCACACGCGCCCTGCGTGAGTTTAAGCCACCAGGTCTGGGACGTGAACTGCGGTTGACTAAGTGGGAGTCCAGCGACGTAGCCATTATGCTAACTGCTGGGCCCTGGCAAATTAGCCATTTGACTTGACTTTTGGCTGTCTGTAGGTAAAGTGACCAGGATTTAATTTTCAAGTGAGGAGGCTGAGACCGGAGAAACTGAGGGAGTTGCCTAAGATCACAATATCATGTGTTAGAGCCACAACTTTCGAAAGGTCCGTCTAAAATTGAGTTAGTGTCTTTGTGCCATTTAGAAGATAACAGGATAGAACTCAAAGTGGCTCCCACGGTAGCTAAAGGATGGCATGGGGGTGGAAGGGTTGATTTTTAATCACCAAAAACCTACAGAGACCAGGAAAGAGGAGTAAAGGAATTAGGAAAATCTAATTACTCTTAAAACACACACACACACACACACACACACACACACCACAAAGTGCTATGTGGTTCCTAAACTTGGCACCAGTGACAGATTTAAGAGAGACATGTGAGGACCGTGGTGAATTACAGGGTGATTTGCCATCAGTGTTGATTCTGTGATTTTTTTCAAAACAGTCTGAAAATCCTGGTTTTGATGTCAAATTTCCAAGTTGTATGTATAACTTCAAATTAATTTTAAGCACCATATAGGCCAGTGTAGGCAGTTATGCATATTGGATCTGGTCTCTAAATCTGTGGGCTTGGTGGTTGGTTGGCATGGATCATCACCAATTCCTGATGTTAAGTCAAAAGTATGGCTTTCTTGTGCAGCTGTGGGGGGCTGAAAATTCTAGCAACAGCGAAGAGTAGACAAAGAGGTCAAGAAATGACCTTGAGGGGCCAGCAGTTAGTGTAATGGCTATGTCGCTGGACTCCCATGTAGTTGACCGTGGTTTGCGTCCCGGACCTGGTGGCTTAAAACTCACGCTGGGCACAAGTGCTTGCGTGCCCAAGATCCCGAGAGGAGAATGGAGGAGAAGGGATTGTGGCGTGGCCATGCCCCCTGGGGGGTGATTTCTCGCTTTCTGTCTCTCTGTCTCTCTGTGTCTGTCTGGCGAGCGCACGCACCCTCGTGAGTAACTTAGCAGGCTCTGACACCTGATGAATGTGGTGTTGAGTCCCAGCTCTGTCACTTACCTGCTGTGCAACCTCGAGCAAAATCAGCCTCTCAGTGGCTTTGTCTCCTCGTATCTGAATTCTTGTGAGGTTTCAATGCAATAAGATGAAAATAAGATCATTAGAAGATAGGAGATTCTCAAGAAATGGTACTTGCTAAGATAGGAATAATGATGATTATCCTTGTGGTAATAATGATAACTATTATTATCAGTACATACATTTATAAGCCCTGAGGAATGTGCTAATGGAAACTAAACTTTTTCCATGAGGATGATTAGGCACTTTGGCGTGACTTTATCATTTCATTATATTTACATTTGGAAGTCACGAAGCTGAGCACTTTTTAATACATATATATTTTTTCTTCAAAGCATCCAGGGAACTCAAGTAATCCATCCAAATCTAAACCCAGAGGGAATTTCTGACACTTGACTTACGGAGCTTAAGGCATCTGTGAACATTCCATTTGCTGGCCTTTATTAGAAGCTGTGTCTCAGAAGGATTCACACGGAATTCAGCCTTTTTGTCACGCTAGGACTCCTTAACTCCATTTTCAGTCCCTTCCAGATTGCCCATCTCTTCGTGTGCTATTCAGCTCAGCCTAATGTGAAATTGCTGCAGGTGACAAAGAGAAAAGTGGTCATCTTCAAGATTCTTGTGACCTGCACACACACGTGTATTCTCTTCCCTGCTCTCATGCCAGGGATGAAGCTAAATAGCTTGTACTAAGTTCAGGATAAAGGTAAGTGTATGAAACAGAGCTCCTACATTTTGAAAAGAATGGGAAAGACTCTCGGTACAGTTCCAAGTTGCCCCAGGTCATTACAACAGAGAGAAGTGATCTGCTATTCCATGTTCCAGCACTCAGAAACACAGAGCTTGGGCCTTCCAGGACCCTCGCCTCATTCCCAACTCATGCCTTACCTCCCAGGGCTGCCTGCATCAATTCCCAACTTTTAGGTTTTGCATCCAAATTCAAGCTCAAGTTCAGACCTAACATGACCGATCTAGCTTCTCCTGATGAGCTTTAGGCTCTTGTAGCAGTTGCTGTCAGTGCTCCACTCTGACCATTCCTGTGTGCATGGACCCCATGATGTCCAATTCCCAGTAGCTGTGACTGAAGAAAGCTTTCTCTGGTGGTGACTGGCCCATGGTGTGGTGGTTGACTAATGGTCCAAGTCCCAGACCAGTGGCTTGAAAAAATCCATTGAACATGTGTGTGTGTGTGTTTCAAAATCCCCAAGAGAGGTAGAAATGGAGGAGAAGAGATTATGGCATGGCCATTCTCCGTGGGGAGGAGGGTGCTTTACATATATTACATTAAATTTTAAAAATTAAAAACTTAATTTTAACTTAAATATTAAAAAGAAAGAAAATCATTCATATACACTAAGTAGGGACATACGATGCCTCTCTTTCATAGTCTAGTTCGCTTTTCTTAGTAGTAAATCTTCCATAATCATCCACTTTCTATCAGATGCCAGGGTTTCATTGATTTTTATGGCCGAGTAGTAACCTGTAGTGTATACACACTGAATGTCCACACTCTATGACAGAAACTGAAAGATTGAAGGTATAAAGGCATAGGGAGCAACTGTGGATATTAGAGATAGTGTAGGAGGGAATAGTGTAGTGGGAGGAAGGAAATCAAGGAGAAAAAGAAAGAAGCAAAGCATTCGAGGCACATGAAAATGGAAAATTATCTGTTAATGATAGTAAGTATGATAGTATCTTTGACTGAACCTCCTTTCCCATCCTGAACAGTGTATTCAGGATGGAAACATTAATTTGGTATGCTGTGAAGATACACAGTAATTGAATGTAAAAAGTTAATTAATTAATTAATTGTTAAAAAGAAACAAAGAAAGAAAGCTAGCTTTTTCTAGCGACTTAAACCTACGGAACGGGCACGAAGAACTGACCTGTGCTAGGAGGTTAAGCCCCACCCGCTGAAGCCCTCACCGATGGTGGATAAATACCCCCACTTATTCATCGTTTCTTGGAAGGTAACTCTGAGGTATACTCCACCCTGTCTGGCAGAGGTCCCCCAAAGGTCTGCTCGCAGGGATAACCTACCACTCAAGCACCTGGACTGCTATCTTTCCTCCATCGACTCATGCCCTCCCTCTCACACTGGTGCTTTCTAGAATCATCTCCCAAATCAACCCCTTGCATGCAACTCCTTGTCTCAGCGTCTGCTTTTGGGGGTTCCCCGCCTAAGACAGCCTTCTTTCTCTTTTTATTTAGGAAGATAATATTCACTAACCACCTTTACATGCCAGATGCAGTATTCACCACATCTCGATTCCCCGAAGAGCTGGTTCTCCTTTATCACCCCCATTCTACAAATATGAATGCAGAAGCTAAAAGCCAGCAAGTGGCAGAGCCAGGATGTCAACCCAGATCTTTCTGATTTCCCACATCTTGCCTGTCCCACCATGTAACACTCACCCGGCTCCTTCCACCCTGGGTCTGGGTTTCTCCCCTGATTGATCAAGCCTTGGCTCTCAGAACAGAAGTGGACACGGCTGACCAATTACTATGACACCAATTATCGCTGTAAGTAAAGAGCAGAAAATGATCATTTAGGAACCGATTGTGCTGAGACAGCTGGCTCCAGCCCACAGAGGCAAGCAGTAATATATTTTAAGAATTCTCCTGGGCATAGAATAGCAGCCTTTGTGGCTGGGGAGGTTGGCACGCGAATGGTGATGCCTCCCCATCAATGGGCTGTGTAGGAAGACTTGATGGAAAAATCCAGCATCGAGGCTCTGTAGTCTGCTTTGCCACAAAATATTCTACTCCTTGTAAAGAATCGAGAGCTATCATCTGCAGGTCCTGTTCTCTCCTTTATTGTCTGCTTGAATGTTGGCTTTTTGCGTCCCCTCACTGGCTCTCAGTCCATGGCTTACATGTACGGAATCAATAAGCACAGGCAGACGTGGTCCTATCAGCTATCCTAGGGATGACTTACTGAATTTGTATTTCATTTATTTATTTTTTTACATGGTCTCACTGTTGCAATCTTCCTGCTCAGTCTCCCAGCTGGGGCTACAACCACATGCTCCCCCATTCTGGGTCTCACCCAAGCCAACCTCAAGATCGTAATCCTCTTTCTCCCTGAATTGCTGGAATTACAAGAGCAGGCCACTGTTCCTGGCCTTCAGGTTGGGCCAGGAACCAGACCTGGGCCTCCCACATGGTCCCTGCCTATGGCGTAGCCGTGTTTTAGCAGTGTGTGCCACTGTAGCTGGGCCAAGACTGAGTGAGTTCTACATGTTGGGTGTTTCATTTGGGCCTTTTCTCATAATGTTTGGTCTGTGGCTGACCACAGATCTAACTTATCATTAGATGGGATAAATGAATTGATGGCCATGTCCCACCTCAGATCAAAGGAAGTTCACAATTGGCCACAAATATTATTGTTTATATTCTTCTAATATATACTTATTCTTGCCCAAGATTCTGCAAGAGATGGACATTCATTCATTCCTGAATTCAAATATCCAACAGCCCTGTAGAGCGCACCTTTCTTCCAGACCCTGAGCTTAGCACTATTGATGCAAAAGGAAACTATACGGGGCTCTTGGACCCACAGGTCAGTAAGTGTCACTGGAAAACAGTGAACAGGGATGAGGATGATTGGAAGGACTTGATCTTCCTCTGCCTCCTATGTGCCATTACACCTGGACGAGTTCCCCACTAGTAGGAGAATAAACAACAGCAGCTCTTCAGAGAAAAATAAACACCATTCAGACCAGAGACAGCTGCTTCTAGTATTGCAGAGGGGAGAGGGAAATCCCAGGGAAGAATCAGGAAAGGCTTCATAGAAGAGGGATATTTTAGTTTCACCGGACTTAGCAGTTGGAGATGGAGAGAGGATACTCCAGGAAAAGCACGTGTACAAAGTCCCCCAGCCAGGGTCCTAGAGAACCCGTTCAGGACATAGGTTGTTTATTTAGGTGCAGAGAGGCTACCCGAAGGGGAGTGGTCTAAGGCTGGAAATAACCACTCAGGCTGTTTAAGGAAACTTCTGAATGCAGATTGCATTGTGGGTGATATTATAGAGAGTTGGTAGAGGATCTGTACCAGTCAAGGTTATGGGTTATAAGTAATAGAAGTCATTTCCAATCAATCTTTTTCAAAAAATTGATTTAATTTTACTTGTTATTATTATTTCTTTTTAAAATTTGAGCGAGAGACAGAAGGAGAGAGAAAGGGAACGTGGGAAAGCAAGCCATCAGGGCCAAGACTCAAACCATGGTGGGTCATGTGAGAGTCCAGCGCCTTAACCACCATGCCACCTGTCGAGCCCTAATTCCCACTAATCTTAGCAAAGAGAGAAATCTATTAGAAGGATATGATAAAGCCCGTGTAATTGAAGAAAAACTCTAGGATTCAGAAAATATAGGTGCCAGGACACCTAGAAGGAAAGAGTAACAGGGAGTAATTAACAGTGTATTAGTTTCAAACTTGGTAGATTATACATGTCCAGGAATTTGTCCATCTAATCCAGATTGTCTTGTTTCTTGGCACATTTCTGATGAAGACACATATCTCAAAAAACTTGAAATTTATCTTCGTTGAAATTTTATCTTTTTACTAACCTCCAAAGTAAGATCCATCTGTCAGCTTCATTTCTTAACTGGATTTTGTTGCCCCTACCACTGGCAACACCATGTTGAATAAAATACATTTAAAAAACAAAACAAAACAAAACAAAACAAAACAAACCCCAGAGTGTATTAGTTAGGTATTGCTGCAATAAAGCTGCTTAACAGCTTTATTAGACCCCAAAGCTCAGTGACTTAAAACGAACATTCTATTTTTCTTGTTAATGGGCCTGGAGACTGTCTGGGATGGCTTTACTTCAAGTTACAGTGAGCGGAGGTCTGTATATGTGTCGCTTCATTCTCCTTAAACTGGAGGCTGCCTGGGGCTTGTCTTTTCAAAACAGAGGGCAGAAGAGCAAGTCAAATCATAAAAGGATGCTTAAGGCTTCCGCTCCTCTGGTGCTCAGTAATATTCCACTGGGCAGAGCAAGTCCATGGAGAAAGATAAGGAAAAATAAGGAGTGGGAGTCCTTGAGGAGTGTGTGCATTGTGTGTGGAGGAAGGGCTGTTTCAAAGACAGATACAGTAATTATTAAATAGGGGCAGTTGTGCCCCTACAACCCAAAGCCAACCAGCCAGAGCTCCTTCCTCTTCTCAGAACTTTAGTAATTCCAGCTTTTCCCCACTTCTTGATGCTCAGCCCCTTCTGATTGACAGATGCAGAATACACTGGAAGTATTAAAGCTGAACCTCCCAGGGAGAAGCTGAATGCCCAAATGCTTGACTGAGGCTTTGAGCCTGGTACTTCCCTCCTTCCCTCCAGAACTGACCAAGGCAAAGCGTAAAGGACCCAAGAGGTCATATCACTCCAGGGTTGAAGGGAATTAGAACTTCCTTCATGGACCTAGGTTTACCTCTCAGGGTGGAGAGCAAAGCTTCCAAATATTGCCCTGGAGCCCACCAGCCCCCCACCCCAACTCTGCCTCTGCACCCCTCTGGAGCCTGGGTTCCTCTGGGGGGAAGCTGGAGCTCTCGTATCTCATTAGATGCTGCGCCTTTGGCTGTCTCTTGGTCAGAGATAAAACTTTTCATTCCAACTGGTGATTTTCCTCTCTTGGCCAGGGCTGAGGCTTCTGTTGCTATAAGCGGAACCCTGGTTGCTAGGTGACACCCTCCCTCCTTGTTCTGAAGGCAGCCGAGGCAGGAAAGAACCTCAGAGATCTGAGGCTTCCACTTTAAAGACAAAATATGAAACCTAAAAGAAGAAATGAGACCCTAAACTAATTGGGGAGTTATATAAGAACCAGACAGGAGTCTAATGTCCTCCCCACCACTCTGCCAACATCAGTGGGATATATTTAAATGTGTTTTTCAAAATAGGGAAAAAGTAGGAAGTTGCACTGATAAATATAGTTGGCTCTTTTGATTGGGAAAGGAAACTTCTAATTACATAGCTTTTCTGAGCTCCATCAATCAGATCTACACCTTCATTAGCCTCTGAGTCATTAGGAGGACTTATTAAAACAATTAGATCTGCAGAGAACTGCAGCCCTCAGCATTTCTGACAGCTGCATGGGGATTTAGACTTTTCATTAAAATTGGATGGAGCCCTTGCAAATCAATAAGAAACAGATCAACATTCCAAGTGAAAACTGAGCAAAGAACGTGAATAGGCAGTTCACAAAAGAACCACCAATGGCCAATAAGCAAAGGAACGCATTTCCAAACTCATTAGCAACTGAGGAAATATATTAAAACAATAACAAGGAAGCATTTTAAAATCTCCTCAAAGGCAAGTATTTTTAAAACAGTAATAGATAGGATGGGTGAGTATACGGAGAATCTGCTAGTTGGATGCCCTTGGTTGATATGCAGTTAGAAGAAAACCTTTCTGAGAGTAGTTTGGTCGTGTGTTGAGTCTTAAGCAAATATACACCTCTGGCTAAACAATGTGGTGTCCTTATTTACAAAGACGTTGACCCGACATTATTGCTAAAGAGAGAGAAATTTTTTTTCTTATAATTTTGTATAATTTTGTTTGCGACTCTGTAACAACAGAGGCAGTATGGTTTTAAATATGTTTGAGAAAATAACTTTTCTCAATCCAGCCCTGCCTACCAAGTATTCTGTGATATAGCATCTGCTAGCAAAGATCAGTCTCTTTTTCTTCCTTCGAAGTCTTTCTCAAGATAATCCTCTGGTTGTGGTTGCTCTTTTGCAATCTCTGCTGATTACAATGCTGGGCTGGAAAAGTCCAGGTTATTTTATGTTATAAATTCTTTCATATTATTGCTAAAGAGAGAGATTTTAAAATGAAAGAAATTAAAAAAGGAAATTGCATATACATTACGAATCTATTTTTGTAAAATGAAAAAGAAGGTAGTATATGCCTTCATAGGATACCATAAGCAGATATTCTCAAATGTTCATAGACCCTTTAATATCTCAGTAATTTTTTTTTTTTTTTTTTTTTGGGGGGCTTCTTGCTATAGGGCGCGGGCGCTCACCAGAAAGAACGAGA